GAGACAGGCTTGTAGGCTAACCACCTGGAAAAAAGGCATTCCAAGGGGATGGAATAACACATGCAGAGAAGCATGAAACTATCTAGTTCATTTATCTATTAGTAAGCGAGAACAGAGGGGAAGGGTGGAGAAGCACAGAGCAATGGACCTGAAAAGGAGGCAGGAATCAGATCACAGTGGGACTTGAATGTTTTAGCCAATACCTAGGAGAATGGATCGGAAGGAAATGAATCTAGAGGAAGGAGACAGACGTCTCTCACAATGATTCAGACTACAAAAACAATAAAGCTGGATGTGTCACAGGTAGCAGAGATGGTGATGGTGTTGTTGTTAGGTGCTGTCAAGTCCGTTCCGACTCATAGCGACCCAATGAACAACAGAACAAACACTGCCTGCTCCTGTGCCATCCTCACAATCGTTGTTACGATTGAGCCCACTGTTGCAGCCACTGTGTCAATCCATCTCGTTGAGGGTCTTCCTCTTTTTCGCTGATTCTCTCTCCACTTTACCAAGCATGACGTCCTTCTCCAGGGACATCCTGATAACATGTCCAAAGTATGTGAGACGAAGTCTTACCATCCTTGCTTCTAATGAGCATTCTGGCTGTACTTCTTCCAAGACAGAGTTGTTCGTTCTTCTGGCAGTCCATGGTATATTCAGTAGTCTTTGCCAACACCAAATTCAAAGGCGTCAATTCTTCTTCAGTCTTCATTATTCATTGCCCAGCTTTCACATACATATGAGGCGACTGAAAACACCATGGCTTGGGTCAGGCGCACCTTACTCCTCAAAGTGACATCTTTGCTTTTTAACACTTCTAAAGAGGTGTTTTGCAGCAGATTTGCTCAATACAATGTGTTGTTTGATTTCCTGACTGCTGCTTTCATGGGCATTGATTGTGGATCCAAGTAATATGAAATCCTTGACAACTTCAATCTTTTCTCCGTTTATCACGATGTTGCTTATTGGTCCAGTTGTGATGATTTTTGTTTTCTTCATGTTGAGGTGTAATCCATACTGAAGGCTGTGGTCTTTGATCTTCATCAGTAAGGGCTCCAAGTCCTCTTCACTTTCAGCAAGCAAGGTTGTGTCATCTGCATAATGCAGGTTGTTAATGAGTCTCCCTCCAATCCTGATGCCCCATTGTTCTTCATATAGTCCAGCTTCTCAGATTATTTACTCAGCATACAGTTTGAATAAGTATGGTGAAAGGATACAACCCTGACACACATCTTTCCTGACTTTAAACCATGCAGTATCACCTTGCTCTGTCTGAATGACTGCTTCTTGATCTATGTACAGGTTCCTCATGAGCACAATTAAGTGTTCTGGAATTCCCATTTTTTAGAATGCTTTCCATAATTTGTTATGATCCACACAGTCGAATGCCTTTGCATAGTCAATAAAACACAGGCAAACATCTTTCTGGTATTCTCTGTTTTTCAGTCAGATATCATTTCATCTGACATCAGCAATGATACCCCTTGTTCCATGTCCTCTTCTGAATCTGGCTTGAATTTCTGGCAGTTCCTTGTCGATATACTGCTACAGCCACTTTTGAATGATCTTCAGGAAAATTTTACTTTCGTGTGATATTAATGATATTGTTCGATAATTTCTGAACTCGGTTGGATCGCCTTTCCTTGGAATAGGCACAAATATGGATTTCTTCCAGTTGGTTGGCCAGGTAGCTGTCTTCCACATTTCTTGGCACAGAAGAGAGAGCACTTCCAGTGCTGCATCTGTTTGCTGAAACATCTCATTTGGTATTTCGACAATTCCTAGAGCCTTGCTTTTCGCCAATGCCTTCAGTGCAGCTTGGATTTCTTCCTTTAGTACCATTGGTTCTTGATCATATGCTACCTCCTGAAATGACTGAACGTAGATCAATTCTTTCTGCTACTGTGACTATGTGTATTCCTTCCATCTTCTTTTGATGCTTCCTGCATCATTCAGTATTTTGCCCACAGAATCATTCACTGTTGCAACTTGAGGCTTGAATTTTTTTCTCCAGTTCTTTCGGCTTGAGAAATGTCAAGCGTGTTCTTCCCTTTTGGTTTTCTAACTCCAGGTGTTTGCACATTTCATTATAATACTTTACTTTGTCTTCTTCAGCCACCCTTTGAAATCTTCTGTTCAGCTCTTTTACTTCATCATTTCTTCCATCTCCTTTAACTAATCTATGTTCAAGAGCAAGTTTCAGAGTCTCTTCTGACATCCATCTGGGTCTTTTCTTTCCTGTCTTTTTAATGACCTCTTGCTTTCTTCATGTATGATGTCCTTGATGTCATTCTACAACTAGTCTGGTCTTCGGTCATTAGTGTTCAATGCGTCAAATCTATTCTTGAGATGGTCTCTAAATTTAGGAGGGATATACTCAAGGTCGTATTTTGGGTCTCAAGGACTTGTTCTAATTTTCTTCAACATCAAGACGAGATGGTGTGGAGGGAACACATTTTAAAAATAAATGGAGCTGCATTTTAAGCAGGGCTAAGTTTTAACTTTAGAGTGGAAGTTACGTGCATGTATATGACCCCTTGAATTTAGAAATAGGCTTCTGGCTTAGGGGACGAGGTGGATGGCTGTATTCACTGAGGTAAAGAATTCAGGTGTGGGATGGAGTTGATTAACTGAACTCTGATGCTGAGTTTGAGATCACTGGGTGTTTGTTATCTAGCAGGCAGGCAGCCAAGTAGTAGTTCTGATGAGCAGAAGAACTATCTGATTTTTGAGTCAACAATTTCAAGGCTAGCTGAAGTCTTGGATATTGGGAAGATTATGAACTCACTCACAGACTGTGAGAGCTTGGAGCGCTAACATTTAAGAGAGGGGAGAAGAGCGCTCCAAAAGACAGGAAAGAGGGTGTCTCTAAGAAGAGGTGTGGCTAATCTCTCCTGTGTATTTTGTGAGGAATAAATGAGGCAATGCAGATAAAGAACTTATATTACAAATGCTCTTATCCATGGACACACAAGTATCCTGGTGTTAACTGTAGATATACCTCCTGGTTAAAATGAATAAATTATAACTGATACTTCTGAATCAGTCCTCTGTGTGTGTGGTTAGAGAAAAGTATTTCCTTAGGGTAGGATCATCCCTAGGTGAACTGACAAAATCAATTTCTGAAACTGCAATATTAAGATATTTGTGGAGTGGTGTCCCTCAACATTCACCATGAGAACCAAAATCAAGTAGCCATCCAGGCTACAGTGGCTCTTCATTATAATTTTATGCTTTTTCAAATCTCTACTGGTCCATTTTCTTTCAGATCAGAGGTCAAGGCAAACTAAGGCCCACCACCTGTATTTGTACCACCCATGAAGAATAGTTTTTACATTTTTTAATGAATGGGGGAAAAAAATCAAACAATAATATCTTGTGACATATGAAAATTATATGAAACTCAAATTTCAGTATCTGTCAATAAATTGTTATTGGAACCCAGGCATACTTACTCACTCGTATGGTCTACAGCTGCTTTTATGCTACAACACCAGAGCTGAGTAGTTGCGACAGAGATCAGGGAGCCGGCAAACCCTAGAATAGTATTTACTATTTGGGCCATTAATGAAAAAGTTTGCTGTCCCCTATTCTGGACTATAAACTCCTTAAAGCAAAAAACAAACAAAAAAAGGATGAGGTGGGAAAGTACGGAAACAGTATTTGATGCCTACAGAAGTCAAGTTGGAGCCCTGGTGGCACAGTGGTTAAGTGCTATGGCTGCTAACCAAAAGGTTGGCAGTTCAAATCCACCAGCTGCTCTTGGAAACCCTATGGGGCAGTTCTACTCTGTCCTATAGAGTCGCTATGAGTTGGAATCAACTTGACGGCAACAGGTTTTTTGGTTCAGAAGTCAAAATAAGAACTGAAAAGTGATCATTTGATTTAGATATTAAGATCTCATCAGTGATCGTGGCAAAAGCAGTTTCAATGGAATATGTTTTCATCATAAATGCACTACACCTAAGCAGCAATACTCTACTGGCTAAATGAAATCTTACTTTACCTGTTTTAACTTCAGTTTTACGTCATCAAGGCCACCAATCTGCTCCCAGCCAACAGGCTTGATGTCCATTAGTCCAATGACACTTCGAAACGATGAGGGTTGAATCTTTTTAAAAGCTTCAAGGAAGTCTGTTTCATCGATCACAGAGCTGTCCTGATTCTAAAACAATGTAAACAAAAAGGCAAAATCAAATCAAAAATAGGTAGGCCCTTTATGTGGTACACAAGCACAATTACTTTTTTTTTTTTAATCCTCTTTTGAATTTGGAAATCTGTTACCATTCATAAAAGAAATGTATATCATGATACAAAAAATTAACTGTCTCCCTCCCTACACCCGCCCATCTTCATCCCCAGAGGACATCAACAGTTTCCTGTCTTCTTCTAGTATGTTTTGTGACACAGCATATGTATATCCCTTCAAACACATACACAAATGGGACCATACTGTACATATCAATCTGCACGCTTCTTTTTCCACTTATCTTAGAAATTTTTGCACGGCAGCTCATATAGTTCTACTTCACTCTTTCTGACAATCACGTAACATCCTATTGCATGAGAGTACCATCTTCTAACTGCATCTTTCTGAGATCTGACAGTCCTTGTACACATGTTCCAGTATTTTAATTAACAATTTCCTAGAAGGACAATTTTGGGTTTAAGTGTATGCAAATTTACAATCTTGACAGCTATTTACCAAACTGTCTTCAAAGGAAGACGCATCAATTTATTCTTCTCCAATAATGATATGAAGCTGCTGTTCTCCCCCCACCAGATGTTACCAAATTTTTTAATTTCTGCCATTCTGACAGAAGAAAATGGCACTATTGTGTTTATTAAATTTCTTCAATTAAGGGACTGAGATAGACAGAGTGATGTGGTTAGAAAATTGCCTTTTTGCAATCACCATAGAAAAGGCTGCTTTGGGCAAGAATCATCAATGGATGCTATATCCGGGGAAGGAAAAGTCTGAGAAGAACGGGGGCATGTGCATGCTCTCAAATTGTTTCCCCACAGACTGCTTACTGGTTCCAAGGGGAAAAAACCGTAGCTATCCAGGAGAAACTGGGCAACACCTTGACCAGTTGATCAAAATCAACATCACCAACGAGGGGCAGATGAATATCTCATGCCTCTGAACGGGATACCCTGAGAAGGACACAACATCAATTTTGTCGTGTTCCTACTAGGGATGCAAAGCCTGAATCTGACTATGAGGAGACATCAGACAAACCCAAGTTAAGGATATTCCAAAATAACTGATCTGCATCCTTAAAATACGTCAATGTCAAATATGTCAGACCAAGAAAACAGGAAGCTAAGGAAGTGTTCAAGATTAAAAGAAAACATGATAACTAAATGCAATACATTATCCTGGACCATATCCTATATTAGAGTGAGAAAATGCTAAGAAGGAGATTATTGGGACAATTATCAAAATCAGATTGTGGATTGTAGATTAGTTAATGTGTTACATCAACGTTAAACTTCCTGAATACAATGATTATACGTGATTATCCTTGGTCTCAGGAAACAGACATTAATATATAAAGGGTAATGATGGATGCAACCTATTCTCAAATGGTCCAGAGAAAAGAAATATGTGCATATGTAGGCATAAACATACACACAGAGAGAAAGAGAGAGAGAGAGAGAGAGGAGAGAATAATAAAGCTAATGGCAAAATGTCAAAAATTGGTAAATTTGGATAGAGGGTTTAACTGGTGTTCTCTGTACTATCTTGTAACTTTTCCTAAGTTTTAAATTATTTCAAAAAAAAAAGCAAAAGAAAATAATTTTTTTAAAAAGCAATGTTCAGGATTTTTCATATTTATTGGCCATTTTGCATTCCTTTTATTGTTATATTGTTCATATCTTGTTACCCATTTTGTATTGGGTTGTTAGTCTTTCTCCTTTGATTTGTAAGAGTTCTTTCTATATCAAGGAAATTGGCCTTTTGTCATGGGCTAAAAGTATTTTTCCGAATCTGTATCATGTCTTGGCTTTGTGTATAGTATTGTTTTGGCATCCCAAAATGGTCAAATTAGCAAATCATTTCCTTTTTGGCTTTTCCCTTTTATGCTATGCTTGGAAAGGCTTTCCTCGCTCTAAGATTATATTTTAGAGACTCCTTGCAATTTCCTTGGCCACTCTAGCGAGGCCAAATTTTGGTTACAGTTAAAAATGCCTTATATTTCTAACAGCTGTATTACATTTATTGAAGGATTTGCTCTCTTACAACAAATTCTGAAATTTAGTTTTCCATAAATTCCTATTTTCAATAAGAAAGTATTTTACCCTATTTATGTAAGATTATGTAAGTGAATATACATGTATGGCGCTATCCTGACCAGTATTCCAAAAAAATGTTAACAACTGTAATCTCCAGGAGATGAAATTTTAGCAATTTTTACTTTATATTATTTTGTCTTAATTTCTCTCTCTCTCTCTCTCTCACACACACACACACACACAAAACACTACTATAAGAAAACAGCTTTTTTTTAATTAGCTGACAATATTAGATCCTGGGTACCTGAATATTAATGAATTTTTGGCTAACAGCAACTAACATCTGAAAATCTCTTTTATAGCTCAAGATCACTTGTGTATACATTATTTCATTTGATTCTCCTAACAACCCTTCCAGGCAGGTAAAATTCTTTCCTCTCAGGGTATAAATGTGGGTGTGTGTTAAACCACATTTTTAATCCTTTAGTAGGAACACTTCACGAAAAGGTCTACACACTGTATTGTCCCCCTTCTCTGCCCTGGCACAGATAGAGGCGGCAGCAGCCCCTAAGCTGCTTGGCGTGGGAAGGAAGACAAAGACAGAGCCAATACCTTCCCAGATGCCTCTGTCCCTTCTTCCTGTTTGCCTTTCTTCCTTCCATTTCCCCTGGGTTGTTTCTGAGATCAGCCATCACCTGTGGGAACTACCCCTGGGCAGGCCTCTCCTGAGGTAGCAGTGGGCTCCGCCCAGGACAGCAGCAGCTGATTGGTCCTCCTCTCCCTAGAGCAGAAGTGCTTAAGGGTCAAACCTGGAACTTCAAAGCAGAGGGAATCCTAAATGTAAATCTCCTTTCTCAACTCCTGGTACTCTCTTCCTCCCCACAAACAGCATATACTGTATTCTCACACCTTTAACCTGGGATGTGCCATTAAAACTGAAAGCAGTTCTGGTTCTGAAGCCAGAAGATGAAGAGTTAGAAGTTCATAAAACTCTTCCCCACCTTCAGTGTAAGAGTGAAAATAAAGAACAAGGAAGTGAGGAAGGATGTGAAATACCTAGGTAAAAAGGTTTTCTTTTTTGGTGTTTAAAAATTAGGATGATAAATTATCCTTTTCTAGTTTACATAAATTCAAGACTGGGTTTTTTAAAGTACAAGATCAGAGGGCAATTTTAATATTACAATTCAGATTAAAAACTTTGCTCCAGAATCTTCAGCCTGCTGAAATTATTATTATTTTTTTCCTAAAGAGGTTTAAGGATTTAGGATTACTAATTACATATAAGATGACCTGATTTTCCCATCAATAGATTGGAATTTGTAATAAAACAAACCCACTGCTGCGGAGTTGATTCTGACTCATAGCAACCCTATAGGACAGAACAGAAGTGCCCATAGGGTTTCCAAGGAGTGGCTGGTGGATTCGAACTGCTGACCTGTGGTTAGCAGCTGAACTCTTAACCACTGTGCCACCAGGGCTCCGGAATTTATAATAGTTGAAAATAATAACAGTACTAGCTGGAATTTTACCTGTTGCCATCAAGTCGAGTCAATTCCGACTCATAGCAACCTTATAGG